CTTGCAAGGGCGAGGACGACGCACTGATTTTCCTGCAGTAGAATTTGCCCGTGAAATGGCAGGTGCAGTGATTGAACTTTCGATGCGTCTTCAAGCATGTGCCGCAGTGGTGTTGTAACTGTTTCCGTGGGCCCTGGGCCTCCTGTGTTGCAATAGTGGTCAGGTCGCACGGCGCTTCCTGTCAGCAGGACACGGTTTATTGAGTTCTGGGTTTCATCAATGTTGGTGACGCAGAAGGCGCGAAATATAGCGTCTGGTGTGCGTGGGCGGTCAAAAATCCTTCCAGTGTTGCGAAAGTGGATGTCGCATGGAAGGGGCGATGTCGGCCAGCGCCCGGCCGAGCGCCTGTTGTTCATAGTCGCGCTCCTGCTGTGGCTGCTCCCTCCTGCTGATTCTTCTGTAAATGCTCATGTTGAGTCCTACAGGTGGCGTCATGGAAACACATCCCGTCCATCCGTGTGCGTAGCGGTTGGAAGGCACATGTGTTTAGCATCGTCTGTGGGAGGTTTTTAGTCGAGACGCTCAGCGCGCCCTACCGCCACGTCTGGTGGTGCGACCACGACGGTCTTCCATCATAATAAACCGGGGTGGGCGGGGTGCTGGAATGGGGAGGGAGAAGTTGGAAGGTGGGAGTGGGTGACTTTAGCTGCAGGAGGCGGACGAGGAGGGGGGGGAGGAACAAAAGAGAAAGAGGAAACGGAGAGGGAACGGAGGGATCGGCAAGAGAAGAAGTAGGATGGAGGAGGAGGAAGAGGAGGAGGAGGAGGCGGAGGAGGTGGATGAGGAGGAGGAGGAGGGGAAGAGGAAGATGAGAAGGATGCGGACTAGGATGGCCGAGTGCGGGCTTGTCAGGTCAACAGGGCGCGCAAGCGTTCGATCGAGGCGTTCCTGGACGGGGAGCTGCAGGTCCTGGAGGCCCGTGGCTGCGCGCCGGAGGGAACCGTCCACGAGTCTCGGGTCGGAGGTTTCAACAGGGCCGCAGCCGCTATGGCTAGGGGGAAGGAGGGGCATGAGCATCGGTATTACTCAGAGGAGGGAAAGGTACCGCTACTGATCCTACTAGGAGGAAGGCGGCGCCTCTCGGATACTGGGCGATTGAGAGACGCAGATGCTTCACTTATCGGGGACACAAGCAGCACTGCCAGTGCTTACTCTGCTGGCATTGGTCCGCAGGCGGCCTTGCTTGGCTTCGTCGGCGCCTACTGTGCCGCTGGGCCAGGCTCGGGGGGTCACGTCCCTACGGGGCCGAGCGTCTGCCTTCCGGTGGCAGGGCGCCGCGCAGTGCGCGTTGCAACGCCGGGCGCCGCGCAGGGCCTCGAGAAAACGACTTGGATGAGGTGGCCCGCGGGCCTGCCCAGGACTCAGGCCGGGGTTCCAGGTGGCCAGCACGTGTGGCATGTTCAGAGGCAATCTGGCCAGTGCGGGTCCGCGCCCCGGGGCCGCCAGGACACGCAAAAGTCTGGGGCCCATGTGAAGTCGCAGTCCGATCCAATCGGGGACGCTCGTGGTCGACGCTGGCGCCCCTGGAGAGCTCTCGCGAAGCGTTGCGAAGGAGCCCGTCCCGTCGAGGTCGACGCGACACAGCGCCGCCGCCGGGTGTCGATTTCATCCCCGATGGAATTTTCCACCCGGGTTTCTCGTCCAACCCCCGCCCCCCGCCTTCCGTAGCTGTTTGGGCCCAAGTTCTAAGCGTGCATTTGTTGTACGAACCGCTGTCTGGCCAGCCGAACGCCCCAGTGCCATGGGGCGTTGAGTTGCTTTCAGAGCCGTTGCCAGGTCGTCGGTGGGCCATCCGCCCTCAACCCAGGGGGTTCGGAGGCGCCCGTTGTGCCGGCCCGCCTTGCGGCCAGACTGCCTCGCACCCTCGTCGGTGCTTTTGCCGCGGGCGACGCGGGCCTCCACTTCGTGACGGTTCGGGGCGACGTTCTTCAGGCACCCGCGCAGACGGCAGCTTTTTCCACGCGGACTGCGCTCGCGGGCGCCGCTCAGAATGTCCCGCGGGGGACTTGCGCCAGAGCCTTGTCCGTGCATGTGCACGGCAACGGCAAGTCGACTCCAGCATCGCCCCTTTGGGTTCGCCAGACAAGCGCATACCCCTGTTCGCCAGCGCATGCGGCGCGGCTGGGCAAACCGCGCGGCTTAACAAAGCAAATGTCCGAGCGTGGCGCCAAAATAAGAACCGCAGCCAGGTATTCGACGATATCTGGGGCGAGAGGGCTTCCCATCTTTGGCGAGGCCTGAAAAAGAGGGCGTCCCTCGCAACGCGCCGAAAACGCGCGAGTTGCGCGGGGGAGCGGGCGCGATTATGCGCGGCCAGGACAGCTGCAGGCGCGCGGGCTGGGCGAAGAGACGCAGCCTTCACATCATTTTGTTTATTCGGCTTGCGCCGCGTTTCGAAAGCGATCAGCTTTCGCGTTCAGGACGCGCATTCTAACTCTTCCTGCTCGTGCTGTCTCATCGGGGAACAAAAGAACGACCCATGCGGCAAAGGCCAATGGCGTTTCATTCCGTTCAAGCGTATAGCTGGGCTATCCCCAGCGGAACTCCTCCAGGACTGGGCGGATAGGAAGGCCGCGAATGCGGCGGACGTGATTTTCCTCTTCTGCGCCACAACCAGTTCCAAACTCCAGCCGCATAGCGTGGATTCGTGGCGCGCGGCGTCGTCGTCTCATGATACGGGCCCGGCTGTTAGCGTGGGTTCGCTTCGTAGAGGCAGAACGGAATGGTTCGCGCACGGGGCAGAGCTGCTGCCCCCGAGCGTGGTCCAGCGGCAAGTGAAATTCGGATGACGTCATGCGTCGTGCGTGCGCCGACGCTTCTCCAGAAGTGCTAGTGCAGCGTTTTGTTGAGAGCCTGGCCGCCTACTGTGCAAAGTAGACGACGGGCCAGCCGAGCAAGCGCATGCGATATCAAAAAAAGTGCTTGCTCGGAGCGCCGCTCGGAAAATATGCCCGCATGCGCCCGACACGCGCCGGTGCGCGGGGCGCCGCCTCAAGGGGGCTCACCTTGAGGGGGCTCGCCGGGTCGGCCCCTGGAGGCTTTTTCCCTGGCGGGTCGGGGGCGCAGTCGCCCCTTTGATGCCAGGGAAAAGTCTCGACCCACGTCGTGATATTGATCCTTTCAGGAGGAAGGTGGAGCCCCTCGGATAACGGGTGATCTAGAGGCGCAAACGCTTCACTCATCAGGGACGCAGCGTTGCCATTGGCAACTGTGCTGGCCTGGGTTCGCAGCTGGCCTTGCCTCGCATCGTCGGCGCCAATTGTGCCACTGGGCCAGGCTCGGGGGGTCGCGCCCCCGCGGGGCCGAGCGCCCGCCTTCCCGTGGCAGGGCGCCGCGCAGGGCGCGTTGCAACGCCGGGCGCCGCGCAGGGCGCGAGGCATGGCGCTTGCCTGCCGCTCCGTGGCAGGGCGTCGCGCAGGGCGCAAGCCGCGTCGCGGAACGCGCGATCGCGTTCCCGCCCCCCCGCTTCGCTCCTTGACGCGCGCGCGAATGCGGCGAGGGATTCGCATCTGCCTTTTGTTCGGCCGCATCTACTTCAGCTCCCGCTTCCCGAGGCAGCGGCCGACGCGGAAGTTGCGGGGGACTCGCCGGGTCGGGAGGTTCCGTCTTTGGTGGTCTGGGGGTGCATTCGCCGCCTTGATGCCAGGGGAAAACATCGACCCGCGTCGCGAGATCGCTGCTAAGTCTGGAGAGCCCTCGTCGCCGCCGCTGGATCCGCCTTCGGAATGTCTGGCTGGAGCGCGCCCCGGCAGAAGTTCAGGGAGTAGTGTTATCGGCGTGTTGTTTTTTCCCCCATTTGCGAATGTCCGTCTTTCCCCCGTCCACCTTCCCGCGATTGTCTTCCTCCCCCGTTTCTCCTCCTTGCGATGCCCCAAAGTAGAGGGGGGGGCGTGGGGGCTGACCGGGGGAGGTGATGGGGGCGGGCAGGGCCTCGTCGAGGAGGGCTTTGGGGTTCGGCTTGTCGAGGGCTACCCCTTGGGCATTCAAGGAGTTCCTACAAATCGGCTACACGTGCGAGTGGCCCTTCGCCAAATCACATTTGGTAGTGGCCTGAATACAGGGGGGATCGGGTCAACGTTTTTTGGGATTGTGCTCGGCTTCGCGTCGACGCGCGGAACGTGGGGTAGCTGGTCCTCGCATCTGAGCGCGACAAAGTTGGCCCCCTTTTGCAATCGGCCGCAACGCATACGCCGCGCATCTTAGTGCGCGCGTTGTCTTCCCGATGGGGGTCCAGTCGATCGGGCGATCTGGTTTCCTTCGTGGTGGTCGGCCTCCGCTCATGACTTCCTTATGTGCGAAGTTCAATTTCCTGAAGAATCAAAAGGTTTCACGCCTCCACGAAATCTATCTTTGCTTTTAAAAGTGATTCGCGCTCGTGGGGGGGTCCGCGGGGGCCTGTTCACGGCCGCCGCGCCGGGCACTGGCAGACGTCATCGCGGTGCGGCCCCGCCGTGTCAGAAATCATAGCTTTGGTGCCCGGCAGCCTTTGTTTTTGCAGCGCCGTCGGGTCGCCGTTCGGGGCGCCCGAAGCGAATCGGCAGAATTCCGCCTTTGCCCGCTGGCGCCAAGGATCTCTCCAGGAGCGTCTCGCCGATCGTTGATGCGGTGCGGGAGTAGCGGCTTACGCAGTTGCGTCGGCCTCCCACAGGCGTCCATATGGCGGCGCGCCGGAGGTCACTTTTGCTGGGGGTCACACCGCGCGTGTAGCCGAGTTTTGATGGTCAGGATGTTTGGGGGTGGGAAGGGGGATGGCAGCACGATTGATAGCAGGGTTGGCTGAGGGAGACGCAGAGTGGGAAGCGGGATGGGTGGGGCCGATGGAAGGAAGGAGGTCGAGGGAGGGGGGGGGAGAAAGGGAGTGGCAGGGATATTAAGAACGGTTTGTTTGTTCTCACCGTTTTCCTCCACAGGCCCCCCGCCCCTCCCAAACATGTTTCTCCACCCTCCCTCTTCCCCCCCTTTCCCCCCCGCCTGGCGAGCGCGCTGGAGGGCGGCAGCTGGCCAGCCACGCTGCCGTCGCCTTCGGCCCAGGGCAGTCCTGCGTTCCCCGGAGTGGCATACCGTATACCTACTACCTTCCCCCTTTCCCCCCTCCCGTCCTCCCCCCTGCTCCCCTTTCTACTATCCCGCTCTTCCCGCCACCATCTGCTTTCCCATCCGTTTTTTTCTCCGTTCTTCTTTTCATCAGGGTGCTGCGTCCTCGTTGCAGAGCCGTGTGCGTCTATAGTGCGGCGTGTGCAGTTCGCTTGAGAGAACTCGTTCGCTCTGTCTGTTCATGGGGTGGCTTTGAAATTGGTCAAACGTTATGAAATTGTCTCTCGCGGTACAGCGGGGGCCCATGCACTAAATGAGAAAAACACTTTGCTTACCTCCAGGGCGCCCTGGGATCCTTGAATTTCGAGGGTTTCGCTTTTGAATGCGCGACGCCCCCAAGCCAAAACGCAATGGGCGTCCTGGGGTGTCAGGGTTGGGCTTCTGGTGGGTGTCTGTTGTGGTCAAGCTTCCACTGGGCTTTCGGCGCCACGATGACCACGCGTGAAATCCTGCGTGTTCGCGCGAAGTGATTTGGACAGTCGCATCTACGGCGCGTCCTCTAGCACGGCGTGATTCGCCCTGGCACGTCCTCTGGCACGCTCTCCGGCGTGGCACACTCCCTGGCTCGTCCTCTGTCGCGTTCCCTGGCTCGTCCTAAGGCGCTTCCACTGTCCGCTCCGTGGCGCGCCCCTTACTATGCCCATTGGCATGACGTCCGCTGGCCCGCCCCACGGCACGCGCGTTGGCATGTCCCGTGGCAGGTCCCTGACACGTCGAGGGCACGTCCGCTGAAATGTCTCCTGACACGCGCCCTGGCGCATCCCCGAATGCGTCCCTGGCACATTTTGTGGCGCGTCCGTGAGCCTGTGCCCCGTGTCGTGCCGTCCCTATGGGGAGCCGAATCGGGGTTTGATCACGAGTTGAATGACCGTCCCGCACGTTTCAACGTCAACCAGCTCTGGGCCAGCTACTATGTGCTCTGGCAGCTCGAGCTGAAGATTCAGATCACTTCGGTCGGATGCTCAGGACGACTCGATCCACCGACTCGCAGTCCAGCACGGCACGGCACGGCACAGCCTCTGGCACGGCACACGAAGACCGATACGCTCCGCACCGCGATTGCCCGTCGCACAATCAGTCTGAGGCCAAGAACATATGTACACGTACGCGGTTAGTTTCCCCGGGAGTGCGTGTCAACGCGGACATTCGTGCAGGCAAGACCGCGGAGGGCGTACATGTACATATGTCGTTGCTCGGCCAATCGGGTGTCTTGAGAACGTCGCTAGGCCTCTCGTCTCCGTACTCCTTTCGGGGTTCTCGTGGGCCGATCCGGTTCTCTCTGACGGGGGCGAGCGCCCGCGGCGTGTCGGGCCCGAGCGCGGCGCAGGTTCCTGCCTCCGACGCCGCGACCGGCCTGCCCTTGGCCTCGATCCGGCCGGGGGTACCGCCGTCTCGGGCGCCGCAGGGCGGACCTGCCACGTGGTGCCGCAGAGTCGCCCAGGGCGGTTTTGCTGTCCCTCGAATGTTGGATTCTGAGGCTGCGACAATTGCACGGCGTCGACTCCCCAATTGCTGCAGTTGGGTACTGAATCGCTCTTGACTCCCAGTGGTTCAAGCGTGTCGGTTCCAGGGTTTCCTTCGAGGAGCTGCCTCGAGAGGAGGTATGTGCTCGGCACTGCGTCTTCGGACTAGGGGGCACCTGCCTGCCTCGCAGGGTCAGTCTCTGTCTAAGCTTCCTCCTCGTCCTCGCCAGGAGAGGCGGTCACTCTGTTTCGCTCGGAAGAGCTTGCCTTTTCTGCAGCATTGGGCCTCACCGCGTTCAATGAGGCCGCTGGGGACTGACAGTGGAGGAATGCAGGCGGGCGCGGGGCCCTCGCCCGTCTCGTTTCCGCGGGAAACCTCCTCCCCCTCCTGTTCTTGTCCTGTTCTCCTCCCTCGCCTCCTCCTTTCTCCTCCTCCTCCTCCTGAATGATTGTTTCCATGAGAGGCCGCGCTCGAGTGCATGCGCACGGCCGAGGAGGACGAGGGCCCCGAGGGCGAGGACGGCACACGCCGCGGGGCAGCGGGACGACGACGGCGACGGCGACGGTCACGACGACGACGACACCGACAGCGACGACGGCGACTACGACGACGACCGTTGTCGTCGCCGCCGTCGTCGTCGTCATTGTCGTGCTTGGATCGAGGTCTTCGTTGTCTTGGGGCGCTTTCCGTCGATCCCGAGCCTCCTCCAGGGGCTCTCCGTCGGAAGAACGGGGAGGCGATGGAGGAGGAAGAGGAGGAGGCAGATGAGGATGCGGGGGGATGCGGTTGGGAAGGATGCGGGGGAGGAGAGGGGGGGGGGAGAGGGCAGGAGGAGCAGGACGTGCGATTTATAATGCGTCGGCGTTCAGGGCCTTTGGGCCTTTCAGGCCACCGCCCCCCCCGTGGCGGAGGCGAACGAGGAGGTCTGGACGTGTGGAGGGGCAGGAATCGAGGGTGAGGAAGCAGGTTGGTGACCAAGTTGCCACATGTCTTCAATCTGATGACGTTTCGACGCTATCGCTCTCGATTCATGTTTTCGGGGCGTGGGGAAAGGACGATGAAGAGGAGGAGGAGGGATACCACCTCAAACCCATGATGCAACGTGAACCGCCCTCCACCCGTGCAAATGCTACACCTTTTCAGCGCATGGGTCCCACACGCGTTTGGTTACTGGACCAGCGTGCGCGCGGCAACACGGATCCATTATACGCAACTCTTGAGGGCGACCATCAATTACAGCAGGCTAATGCGTAGCAAGCCACAGGAGGCCACGCGGCCACAGGAAGCAGCGCCATAAGATGCCACGCAGTCATAGGAGGGAGGGACGGAAGCGGCGGGCGGAGTTGTATGGAGCAGCACGGAGGCGTCATGGGGAGGAAGAGGATGAGGAGGAACATTAGGAGGAGGAGGAGGAAGAGGAGGAGGAAGAGGAGGAGGAGGGGGAGTTGGAGGAGGAGAAGGAACGAGGAGGGATGCGCGCTATAGTGTAACCGCTGCGGGTCCTACGGCCACTTGGCCTGCTCGGGAGAGGCTTCCTTGGCCGACAGACTAGGCTTCATGCCCCCACGCCGCTCGGAGCCTCGCAGGGCTGGCTGGGCACACCCATCAGCTGCCTGCTCCAGACCACGTTGCTCGCAGGTCGCTCGCTGAATGAGGTTTGAGGCCGCTGTGCCAGGACAACGATTGGCGGATAGGGCGGTGGGGAAGCGAGAGGGACAATGCCTTCTCAGAAGACGGCGGGACTTCTCAGAAGCCCTCGCGCCTTCTGAGAAGTTGTTGTGTCTTCGGGGAAGGCTTAGAACACTTCTCAGAAGGCCCGGGGACCTCCGAGCCTTCTGATAACGGCCCGCCCCTTCTCGCTTCCCCCCCTCGCTCGCCGCCTGAGCAATGCACGGGAGGACGCACGAGGATCGCCATGGCGGCAAGGGGTCCCGAGGAGAACGGCTCCTCGACCAGGGCATTTTCCCCAGGGCTCTTCTGCACGAGGGGGTCCTCTTGGACGGCCCTTGTTGCCCGTGGAGGGCCGTGGGGGCCCGACATTGGGGAACGAACGGCTTCCAGGACCCCCCCTTCCGCAGGCCTAGAGGTTGACACCAGCACCAATGTCGGCGGTGTGCCCCCACCGAGGGAAGAAGATCCCGATCGTAATGGTGTTCTGGCTTCAAGGGTGGCCGAAATATTACCACCAACGCCGAAATCTAGGAGCCTCTTCCCCCTGTGGAGGCAACCCCCTGTGTTGGTGTTGGTTCCCATTTCCAGGTTTCCAACTCTTCTCGAGGACCCGTTTCCCTGCATGCCAGGCGAGGAGGGGCTCAGGGAGGGAGCAGGGCTCGCGCGGAACCACGTTGTGGCGAGCTCGTGGGCCGTTTTCGTTTCGATCTTCGTCGGGCACCAAGGGCGGGGCAACTAAAGGAGAGAACGAGGGAAAACGACAGCAAAACGACAACGGAAAGCACTGTTCAGCTTGAGCCCCGGGGAGGAGCGCGAGGAGGAGCAATGGGAGGAGCGCGAGGGGGTGCACTCGAGGATCGAGGACCGTCTATCGATGATCGAAGTTCGAGGATTGGGGCAGGAAGCATGTGGAAGAGAATGATGAAGATTATTCACTATGAACTTGCACGCATACAGGTTCATGGTGGGATCGTGCGCGACTAGGGGCATGCATGCATGCAGGGTCAAACTTGGAACGAGTAAGGTCTGACTTGGAACACTCGGCTCGTCATCTACAGTGTGTTTGGGGCTCTTTTGGGGGGCTCTCCGGAGGCCGCGGAGCTCCTTGTCGTCGTCGTCGTCGCCCTTTGCCGTCGTCGTCGCTCTCGAGGGTCGAGGATCGATCATTATCACCAGTGGTTGTTGTATTCGAGTTGCCTCCGAGACATCCCGCCAGAGGGCTCCTTGATGCCTCTATGGGTCTCCTGGGACGCCTCTCGGGGGCCTCTCAGAAGCCTCTTGAAGGGCTCCTGGGGCTTCTTCGGGGGCCTCCTGGGGGCCCCTTGGAAGGCTGGCGGAGGCCGCTTGGGGCCTTTGGAGCGTTTTTGTTGAGGTTCTTGGTGTCATGTTGGGAATATTTGGGTCACTATGTTTGGGACCGTCTTCCGATGCCCCTTGTCCGCTCGGTGATGCACTCGTGTTATACTCCGTGATGCGTTTCTGTTAGACTTGTTGACATATTCGATCTTACGCGCGTGCCCTGCTGTACAAATGTTGCAGCACTCGTTTTGCATTAGTGCTGCACTGCAACTGTTCTCGCCAGCAGACTCAAGCACAATAGCCTACACGCACTAAGGCGCATACCGTAATTCCGTATGTAGTCATTCGCCGCACTAAGCTCACGTATGTTAGACCTCCCTTACGCCTGTTGGAGATGGCCGCCCGAGTGGTATAGATATACAAAACGATGGCATCTTGAACTGAACCGCCATGTTCGCATGTATCAGGTCGATAGAACTGCACAGGCTATGGGGCAACAGTAGGCGTGTCGAAAGACATGCACCCCACCGCACGCCTCGGTTCGAAGCCGCGGCCTCTTGAGGTCCAGGGGGGAGGGGGGGGGGAGGGCGATATCCAGGCGCGCAGCCGAGTGCGTTTCTCACCGAGCCGCCGCGAGGAAGATCAGGACGACTGCGCAGCAGAGAGCGCAGAGGACCGTTTTCGATATTTTGCTTCGTGTCTCGATAATCGTCGTGGTGCTTGAGACCCTTGTGCCACCGCTCTTCTCGTGGTCTCTTGCCGTTGTGACTGCTGCCACCGCCATCGTTGTTGCATGCTGTATAGTTATCCTTCGTTGTAGTTGGGGGCAAGTTGCTGGTTAAGTGTGTCCTGTGTCTCGCGGCCCGTGCCTCCTACATTCCTGTGGCAGCGTGCCCCTCGGAGGGGTCCCGTGCCCTCTGGCGTGTCCTGTCCAATCGAGTCCGACTGCACTACGTGTGTTGCTTGTGCTCGGGCCCCACGCCTAGCCTCCGAGCATCGCCCGCCGAGCCCGGCGCCTTCTCCCCACCTGCGCCGCCTCGGGGGCGACGTCGGAGACTGCTTCAGAGTTCTCCCCCGGGGACTCGGACCTCCAACATTCAGGAGGGGAAAAATCACAGACACAATGAGTCGTCGATTCCCGAGAAAATATGGGAAGGTATGGGGAATCCTGTTATTTGTGTCTCTTTATTTGTGTGTCCCAGGGCCCCTTCAAACGTCTCGACAAACTCAAGGCGGAAGTGTTTTGGCCGTTTTCCAGCTCCGGGGGCCCTCGCAGGGCCTTGGGGCCGTCAACGAGAACGACTAAGGATGAAGACCTGTCTCTGGGGAAGAGGTCCAGGCCTCCAGAGACGCCTCTGAGGAACTCGATACAGTCCAGTCAACCCGCATAGTAAGGATGGGCAACCTTCCCAAGGGTACCCTTGCGTCCTTGCCTCCTCGGTCCATCCTTCGCCGCTTTCGCTGGCCTCGCCCCGCTCGAAAAGCTTCGAAATGGGGGTCCAAGGACCATGCATCCTTGTCGCGCATCCTCACTATGCTGGTTGATTGTACATCATATGTCTGGAGATAGCTGGCGTGACCGGAAGGGGGGGGGGAGGGAGGGAGGGGGCCGGTCACGCCACGGGGGGCCAGTCACGGGGGTTAGCAAGCATAATGAACCGACGGACTCTTTGGGGGGGGGACCGGCTTTTGGGGTGTGAATGGAACATCAAGAATATTTGCAAAAATATGCAAACATAGTCGAACCATCGTCCCCAGACCCCAGACTATTGTTGGACCATTTCTGAATACTCCTCCTGTCGAGGGGCAACGTCGACCTGGAATCTGCGATGCATCGCCGGCAGATCGGCGATAGGCCCCCGATGCCCACTACGCACGCTCCTGGGCGGGTTGGCGGCAGGGGGCGGCTGGCTGTCGGTGCAGGAGGAGGAGGGGGGGGGAGGAGGAGAAAAGAGAGGAGGGGGGAGGAGGGAGGAGGAGGAGGAGGAGGCTGAGGAGGGGAGGAGGGGGAGGAGGGAGGGGAGGAGGAGGAGGAGGAGGAGGAGGAGGAGGAGGAGGAGAAGGAGGAGGAAGAGGAGGAGGAGGAGGAGGAGGGGGGAGGGGGAGGAGGAGAGAGAGGAGGAGGGAGGAGGAGGAGGAGGAGGAGGAGGAGGAGGAGAGGTCAAGGGGGAAGGGGAGGCAATTCCTGGGCGATCCCCACAGGAGCGACCACGGAGCCACAGAGTCACCAGCGGCGAACCTGTCCGTATCCGCTCCCTCGCGGCCTGGATTCTCGGGCGCGACCCCGCGGATACGCGGTCGCACGGCTACGTTCCGCGCGGGGCCTCCGCGAACAAAGACGCCCCCCTATGCGCGGGGTCGCGGCCCAGGGGCCTGGCCCGCGAGGCCCGCGAGGCCGCGGATCCGGATATGTTTTTTCGACCGTGCCCCTCGTCTGGATCCCTCTCATCGAACACGAAAGAACTCGTAGTCCCTGGAGCTCGATCAAGACGCGGCCTCACTGAGGCCCCCGCCCTCGCACTAATTCTGGGCGAATTGGTTCGATACACCTGCGGAAAAGACCCCCCTATCCCTAATGTTCCTGGCCCTCCTAACTTAGGTCCCCTCCAAAAGGGCTAGGGGTCCTTCTTTTGGTCAATCACTCTCGACCCTGTTTTCCAGCGGCTGGGCTGGCTTTTGTGTCCCGAGTCGTCTTTCTCTCCTCGGCGGCCTCGGCGGCCAGGCTTTGGAGTGGCCCGTGGACACTGACAGCCGAGGCAAAACTCCTGGCATGGCTGCGTCCTGAGCGTGCGTCGTATGAGGCGTTCCAGACAGGCCTCGCCTTATATCATCCAGGGAGCTGTTATCTCTTTCTCTGCGGAAGGTGGCGGAAGGCCGTTGGAAGCCGGCGGACGTAACACGTGGGCGGCTCCGCCAGCGGAAGCTTGCGGAAGGCTGGTGGACGTTGGCGGAAGTATAACATGCACCCCTCAGGCAGGTGGCAACGTTTTCGGGATCCAGGGTTTCCAGAGTCGGCCATAGTTTGCGTTGCGCTCCCGTGTTAAGGCGTCGCCTGCGTCGTCACGTATTACGTTTCTTATCAAAGAGTGGGCACATTATCGATTCAACCTGACAAACCATGGGCAACGGTAGGAAGGGATAGGCATAAGGGGTGATGTATCGACCCCCAATCGCCCATTGATCGACGACAGGAGTTTGATAGCCTCACCCCACCCAGGAAGGTGCGGTTTCGCTATCGGGGGCCTATCGCCGATCTATCGGCGATTTATCGCCGATTCCAAGTCGATGGTTCCCCCCCTATGCCTACCCCCCACCCATCGTTGCCCCTCAGAGGTGCCCCTGGCCCAAGGTGCCCCCAGCCTTTCGCTCCAGTTGGAGCTCTTTTGGCCCTCTTGGCCGCGTGAGAGGTGCTCTGCAGGTCGTGGGGGCCTCTCTGGAGATCCTGGGAGCACCTTTGGCCAGGGGCACTTCTGGCAACACTCGATATAGACCCACCAGAGAATGTTCTAAGAACCTGTTGTGGTTTGCACAACATGTTCTCAGAACAGTTCTGGCTGAGACCGTCTTGCTTGAATACGTCGGCCCTCTGCTCCCAGGACATGTTTCTTGTTTTCAGAACATGTCCTCACTCTGAGAGCACGCCTTGGTAGGCCTACCTGAGTGGGTGGACGGTCAGTGCTCACTCTGAGTGCGGTGGACGGTCAGTTCATGCTCAGACCAGGGGAGGGGCATGTATGTCCAGGGCCACGGCGTCTCCACGGATTTCAAGACCCGCCCTTCTTATGTTTGGCGATCGCAAGCATGGGTCAAGGGGGCGTGGATTTTGACGGGTCCCGTTTCCATGGATAATCGCGGATTTCTGCCGCCGAGCGAGGCGGCACCGGCCGCACTTTGGGGAGGGCACCTCCCCCGATCCATGGACTTGGCGACGGCGCGCCAAATCCATGGATCGCTAATCCATGTCTGCGCGCCCCCCAATTACGTCTCCCCAGATTTCAAGCCCCGCCCACTTGTTTTCCACCACCACCACCATAAGTTGGAGGGGGGAAGGTGGAGGATGAGGAGGAGGACGAAGAGGAGGAGGAGGGGGACCCCCTCCCCCTCCTACTTATGGTGGTGGTGGTGGTGGAAAACGAGCCCACCATAACGTCTCCCCGGATTTCAAGACCCGCCCTTGGTATGTGACTGCGTCCCTCGGCCCTCCCTGGGCGCCGCCGGCGCCGCGGGCCACGATCTGCGGCCCCCTCCCGCTTGGACGCCCGCCCCCCCCCTCGTGGGAAGCCCCCAGCGCGAGCGGGGGCCGCGTGACCCAGCAGGCTCAGCCAGCCCCGCGCCCGAGGGACCGATCCACTCGACGCTCCGTCCCTTCACTTTTCGGGGTCGGCAAAGAGGGGGGTGATGACTGGGGGGAGGGGGATATCATAAAACGATGTTCATTGCTCCCCTGTTCTCCTCCTCCACCCCGCGGTCTTCCTCGTCCTGTGCCTGCTGCTGCATTCCCCCTTCCTCCTCGTCTTGCCCTCCAGCGGCCTCTCTCCTGCTCTTGGTGTTCCTCCCCTTGCTCGTGCGGCCGCTCCCCATCGCCGCGTTCAAGACAATCCCTCCAAGGAGGTTTTTTTCGGATCCTCGAGGGGGGGGGTCGTTCAAGCAAAAACCACAGGAGGGTTTGTTTTTGATCCTGGAGGGAGCGCTCGTTCCACAAAAAAGCCCTCAGGACCCTTCTCTGCCATCCCCCTCCTGGAGTTTTGTGCCCCCGTCTTGCCCCCTTCCGTGCCGAGGCTCGGCGGAGGACTTGTTTTTTCTACAGATGCACTTTGTTCCTCCTCCTCGCCCCTCCCCAGAGGAGGGAAGCAGTCGAAGGAGGGAGGGGGGATCAATGAGGGAGGAGGGGAGGAACGCGGAGGGAGCGAGGAGGGGGGAGCGAGGAGCGAGGGGGGAACGAGGAAGGAGGAGGGAGCGAGGAGGGAGGAGGGGGGAGCCAGGGAGCGAGGAGGGGGGAGCGAGCGAGGAAGGAGGGGGAGCGAGGAAGGAGGAGGCGGGAGCGAGGAAGGAGGGGGGGGCAGCGAGGAGGGAGGAGGTGGACCTGTGCACACGCTCGCTTCCTATCCTTCCGAGCTGAGGATGGGCCTGGCAAAGTGGACTTGCAGGAGATGTTCCGAAAGAAGAAGAAGCGGAGGAGAACGTGAGGATGTTCCGGCGTGTAGTAGATAAGCCAGGGGCCCGCTGCGATGGTGAGTCTCGCGCCACCCTGCTGCTGGAAGACGTTGGAAACAAAGGCATCCCTCTACGTTTTGGGCCGACTCGTTTTCTCGTCGTCCCGCTCTCTTGCTCTCGTCTCTCCCAGTCTCCCTCCCTTTCCTACTTCCTGTCGGGGTGGACGAGGAGGATGACGAGGATTGCGATGAGGACGACGACGACTGCGAGGACAACGACGAGGAGGAGGAATGGGGGCAGATGCCCTCTGTGGCCCTGCATTATCGGCCCTTCCTTCGTGGCTCCCGCTCGTTCGCGCCCTTCGGGACCCCATACGCATGCCCTTCGTGGCCCCGCTGTCGATTTTCGCGACCCCCTTCCTGCCCTTCATGGCCCCGCTGTCTCTCTCGTTCTCGCTCTCGCTCTCTCTTTCGCTCGTCGTCGTCATCGTCGTCGTCGTCGACGTCGTCGTCGTCGTGGTCGTTCCCCTGTCCGTCCCTCTTGGGGTCGGGCTGCCGCCGATCAGCGCTGCCGCCAAGCCGACGGTCCGCGGCTGCCCCGCCGCTATCCGGGGCTTGGCCTGCAAGGAACAACAATATACCCCCCAAAAGGGGTACGATTGAAGACGACGAGGGCGGGTATCGAGGGTTTGGGAAATACACGTTGACGGACAATCGAGCAGATAAGAGCGAGCAGTAATTGACATGATTGTTGTTGTGGTGGTGGTTGTTGCTGTCCTGATGTCCTGTCGTGGTGGTTGTTGTTGATGATGGGTTCGCATTTCCAACGAATTCTTATTGTTGATCCCACCCCTCCGGTAATCATTGTACTTTTCAATTACATTTCAATTACAGTGCTTCTCCCAAGGCTCGCAACCGGCTTCTTACAAGGGGGGGTGAGGGGTCACCAAGCTTGGTTGTTGGGCCCCCAACGACAACAGCAACGGCTCCCGCCTGATACTCCCTCTCAATGTATTGCAAAGAACGCGGTCGCGCGGGACGTCCCCACAACTTATACAGAAATCGCGCTCTTGCGTGGGACTTCCTTCAATTTGATCAGACGCCGCGCCCTCGACAACGCTCTCTGTGTGGATTACCGCACGATTCACTTGGGAATCGCGCTATCGCTCGAGAGTTCTTTGCGATTCATGCAGGACGCACGCTTCAGCAACACGCTTCAGCATCCGTCCTTTCTTCACCTGCCTTTTGGGCTTCACGAAATACACGTTGCCGATGAGAAAGATATACCCGTAAGGGGGTACGTTCGAAGACGAAGAGGGTGGTTACTGAGGGTTGGAGATCTACATGTTGAATGGCACGCGAGCAGATATGAGCGAACAGTATTAACATCGAGTTTGGGGGGTGAGATCGCAGTGGGACGGATGCGAAACTGTGTGGGCGCGCGAGAGGAATGAACCCGCCGTTGCTACGGCGCAGTCAAGACACATGTTGCTTATTCGCCTTCTGTCCGTCCGGCGGTGGCCCGCGGTGTCCCGTGGTGTCCCGTGGTGTCCCATGTTGTCCCGTGGTGTCCCAACAAGTGAGATCGATGGTGAGATCGATAGTGATATTGATAGCGAGATCGATACTGAGATCGATACTGAGATCGATGTGGTGCGCCGAGGTGTCCAATGGTGTCCCGTGGTGTCCCAAAACTCGAGATCGGTAGTGGGATCGATAGTGGTATCGACAGGTGTTCCGTGGTGTCCCGTGTGGTCCCGTTGGGTGAGATCGATCGTGAGATCGATCGTGAGATCGATAGTGAGATCGATGAGGTGCCCCGAGGTGTCCCGTGGCGTCTCAAAAAGTGAGATCGATAGTGAGATCGATAGTGAGATCGATAGGTGTCCCGTAGTGTCCCGTGGTGTCCCGTTGAGTGAGATCGATAGTGAGATCGATAGTGAGATCGATGTGGTGTCCCGAGGTGTCCCGTGGTGTCCTATGGTGTCCCGTTGAGTGAGATCGATAGTGAGATTGAAAGTGTCACCAATAGTGAGATCGAGAGGTGCCCCGAGGTGTCCCGTGGTGTTCGGTGGTGGCCCGTGGTGTCCCGTGGTGTCCCGTTGAGTGAGATCGATAGTGAGATCGACAAGTGGCCCGTGGTGTCCCGTGGAGTGAGATCGACAGTGAGATCGATTGAGTAAGATGTTGGTTCCCCCCCTTTCCCCCCCACAACCTCCTTATCACCCGAAAGGGTGGTCGTATAAGTAAGTATTGTTGTTGCAATTGTTGACTTTTCACTTTAAAGAATAATGTGTGTTGATCCCCCCTTCCGGTAACCATTGCATTTCTCAATGTATGTGCTTTTCCCTGGGCTAGCACCTTGTGTGTGTTTTGTTTTGCAAGAGAGAGCGAGGGGTCACCACGCTGCGTTGTTGGGCCCCGAACTACAAGAACAGCGGCTCCCGCCTGCTACTTCCTCACCATGTATTTTCAAATCGCGCTCTCGCGCGGGACGTCCTCACAATTTATCTAGGAGCCGCGCTCTCGCGTGGGACTCCCTCACAAGTTCTTCAGACGCCGCGCCCGCAGCATTCAGGAATCACGCTCTCGCCGTGCATCGCGCTATCGCGTTATCGCTCGAGACTTCATCACGATCCATGCAGGACGCACGCTTCAGCAACCCGCCTGCCCCTTGTCCCTTTCTTCCATCCGTACCCTCTTCCCCTGTCTTGCAGGCTGCACCAAATGCACGTTGCAGGTAAGAAAGATATACCCCTTGATAATGGGTGTACGATCGAACACGAAGAGAGCAGGTATCGAGGGTTTGGGGTATATGGTTTTCGTTTTTGTTGTTGTCGTTGTTGTTTTTGTTGTTGTCGAGTTCACACTTCTGACAATCATTACTCCTGGTCCTTCTGCCCAGTAGCATTGTTTTCCATCGCAGTGCTTCTCCAATGGCTCGCACCCTGTTTGTTACAGGGTAAAGCGAGGGGTCACTGATCTGCTTTGTCGGGCCCCGAACTACAACAACGGCTCCCGCCTGATACTTCCTCACAATATATTCCCAAATCGCGCTCTCGCGCGTGACGTACTCACAATGTTTGCAGGAATCGCGCTCTCGCGTTGGTTTTCCCTTCCTCGCAATTTATTCAGTCACCGCGCCTCCGACATTCAGGAATCAAGCTCTCGCTGTGGATTCCCGCGCGATTTTTGTTGGGGAATCGCGTTATTGCCCTCGACTTCCTCACGATTCATGCAGGACGCACGCTCAGCAACCCGCCTGCTCGACCTGGCCGCATGGGCCGCCTCCCCGACCCGTCCGTTCGGGCCCAGCCACGACGACAAGGGCTCCTGCCCAATACTTCCTCACGATTCACTCCGGGAGCCCCTGGCCAAGAAGGCCTCCGAACTCAGGAACGGTGTTCTCGCTCGAGAGTTTCCCGTAATTCAGGCAAGTTGGTGGAGGCCCAGATACGGCGACAAGGGCTCCCGTTTGATTTTTTCCATCGGTATTCCGAAAGCCCCTGGCCACAGAGGCCCCCGAATTTATGAAAGGCGCTCTGGCTCGAGACTTTTTCGCACCTCAGTCAGTGGACGACGAGGAAGAACTAATTCCCCCGAAAGTGGGCGCAATTGAAGACGAAGTGGGCGGGTATCGAGGGTTGGGGTGTACGGAATGCAAGACACGCGTGCCAGTAAGAGCGAACAGTCTTAAAATGATGTGTTGTTGTTGTTGAATTTTCACTCCGGAAGAATAATTTTTGTTGACCCCTCCTCACCGGTGCATGTTTTTTTCTCAGTCAAAATGCCCCTCGACGCTCGCACCCTGTCTTTTGACAAGGAAAGTCCTGGTGGTCAAACTGTGCCCCTGGCCCCCCAGACTACAAGCAACAAGGGTTCCCGCTTGAGAGTTCCTCCAAATTTATTCAGGATCCCCCCCTCCCGTGTGAGACTTCTTTTCAATTCACTCAGGAAAGGCGCACCCGCTTGAGACTTCCTCACAATTGAGTCCGGGTCAAACTGCGTTGCTGCTCCCCTGGGCTACAACAACAACGGCTCCCGCCTGAGACTTCGTCACAATGTATTGAAGAATCGCGCTCTCGCTGTGGACTTCCTGGCAATTTACCACCGAACCGCGGCTCCCGCTTGAAACTTCCTGACAATGGATTATAGAATCGTACTATAGAATCGCATTCTCGCTTGGGACTTCCTCGCAACTTACCACCGAACCGTTTCGCTTGATATTTCCTTAGAATTTTTCCAGATGCCGGTCCTCGACTCAGGATTCGCGCCCCCGCTACATATTGCCTCGTGGTTCAAGCAGGACTCACGCTTCAACGACCCGCCCGCTTGACCCGCCCGTCGGGGCCTGCCCGCCCGACCAAACCGTTAATGACTGCAGTCGCCGATCGCTGCTTTTCGCCCGCCTTCGATGCCCCTCGCTGACCGTACTGGTTCCGCGGTCGCCTTCGCTCGCTGCCCTTCATGGCTCCGTTGCTGCCCTCAGTGGCCCCATCGCTGACCTTTGTGGCCCCGCATTATATGCCCTTCGTGGCCCCCGCTCGCACGCTCCCGTCGCGGCCCCATACGCATGCCCTTCGTAGCCTCGCTGTCGCCCTTCGTGCCCCCCTCGCTGCCCTTCGTGGCCCCTTTGCTGCCCTCAGTGGCCCCGCTGTCGCCGTTTGTGGCCCCGTATACGAATGCCCTTCGTAGCCCCCTGCTCGCTCCCGTCGTGGCCCCATCTGCATGCCCCTCGTGGCCCCGCTGTCGCCCTTTGTGGCCCCCTCGCTGCCCTTCGTGGCCCCGGTGCTGCCCTCAGCGGCCCCGTCGCTGCCCTCCGTGGCCTCGGAATTTTTACCCTTCGTGTCCCACGCTGGCTTTTCTCACGATTTACTTGGGAATCGCGTTATCGTTCGAGACTTCCTCGGGATTCATGCACGACCCACGCTTCAGCAACCCGCCTGCTCGACCTCGTCGCTTGGGCCCGCCTTCCCGACCTGCCCGTTATGGGTCTGCCCACCCGATCTGCCCGTTTGGTTCTACCACTTGTTTTCTGCTCCTTGCCCCTTCCTGCTAATTTGTCTCGTGCTCCATTTTTCTTTTTCACCCTTTCACCCGTCCTCTTGTCTGTTTAAGGGGACGCATTAAATACACGTGGCAGGTAAGGAGGATATACCTCCAAGGGGGTAAGATCGAAGACGGCGAGGGCGGGTAT